CCAAAGCAAAAGAGGAAGGGGTCAACAGAATAGCACAGCCAACACTGCTCCCAGTGGATTCTTTCCTTGCTGTCTGCGCTGCAGTTTAAAGATTTCTGGAGAAGGGGGTAAAAAACAAGAGTTTGTAGCCCTGGGCATCCCAGAGAACACAGCCACTCCATGGCCTGTGGGACCAGAGGACAGCCTGCTCCTGTGCCTCCAGGCAACCGTGTACCAGCCTCACGGCCCATGCTAGGTTGTGTACTGCAGGAAGGAAGGAAGAGGCTTCAGGAGGTCTTGTTGGCCGCTCCTCCCTAGCACCGAGCTGGGCGCATGGCTGGTGCCCAGCACATACCTACTAGATGTTTGTCATTGAAAGTAAAAATAAAAATCTCACAAGTCTGTTAAAAGTGAGTATGGTTTCTCTCTTCCTTCTCTCCTAGTCTCCCCCTACTGCCTCTTCACCCACCACACAGAGACCTACAGAGAAATAGGTGTCCATCACAGGCAAATGGCTAGGGAAAATGTGGCATATACACCCGCAGGGCACTCCTTAGCCTAAAGGAGGATGCATTTCAATCATTTGTAGGAAAAGGGAGGCATCTTGAGACCATAGCACTAAGTGAAGTAACCAGGATTAAATATCACATTTCTCTAAGCTGAGAGATCCAAAATATAAGTAATTTAGAGAAAGATAGAGAGAAGGAGCAAGAGAGAGATGGTAGGGAACAGGAAGATAGACTTACTGGGGAAATCAGAATGAATCCTGGGGAGGAAGGAGAAAAGAAAGAGGAGACTGGAGGGAAGGAGAAATGCAAATGAGCCAGATGCAGTAAGCACAGGTACCAGTTCCCCAAGATGAAACACAAGCATACACTGATAGGGAGAGAACAGTGGTTTCTCCCTGCTGTGAGCTGGGCAAGCATCTAACCTGAGCCTCCCACACGTGAAGTGCAGACGAAACAGTCTGTGAGGATTAACAGCAACCACCATGCAGATTAAATGAGTTCCTGTTTGTCAGGAACTTAGCACATGCCTTATAAACACCTTCACTGACTGTCCAGGACCTCAGAAGGTGAAGGCCTGGTTGCCTCCAGAGTTCCTTTACCTAAGAGATGAGCCACAAACTCCAGGGTTCCCAGCCCACCTGCACTGCTGACCTACTGTCTATTATACTGTCCTGGCCTGATAATTCACTAAAGTAACTCCCAGAAGTCAGTTAAGTGCTTTACTTCCAATTCTAGTTTTATTATAAAGGCTCCGTCTCAGGACCCAGCCATACAGGGGGACGTCTGAGAATGCCTCCGATGTGACATACTTATGTCAAGAAAGCAGCATCCTCTTGGCACATGGACATATGACTCCCAGCCAAGAAGTCCACCTGCCCTTCAGGGCCAGAGTCATTCACTGGGATCCCATCATGTAGGCCCGGTTGATCAAATCACTGCCATGTGACTGAGCTCTGTGCCCAGCCTGGTGCGCCTCTTTTCCCCAGAGACAGGGTAGGTCTTGTAACCCAAAGCCCCCAGCCTTCCAGTCACTTGATTGCTCTTTTTCACATGGCCATATGCTGGTACCCAGGAGCCCACCATGACAGCTGTCCCCCATAGAGGAGACTTAGGGAGGTGGAGGTGCCTGGGTCATAGGTGTGTGATACCAGTGCATTAGTTCCCCAAGGGGTTTATAGCTAGGCATGATATAGGGAGGTGAAGCCTGGGGAAAGGCATGGCCTGGAGGTTGCACGCTCGTGTGTGTGTGTGTGTGTGTGTGTGTGTGTGTGTGTGTGTACATCCTTCATCCTTCCTTGATGCCCCCATTGCTACTTCCTGACTCCCATGCCATGACCTTGTTCTCTTCTGCCATGCCATCCTTCCTGCCTTGGAGCCAATGTGGACTGAAACCTCTACAAATTGTGAGCTGAAATGATCATCTCTGCTTTTAACTTGTGGGTGTTGGGTATTTTATACCAGCAACAAGAAAGTAACTGAGACATCAGCATAAACCTCGGCTATGGAGCCCACCATGAATAACAAAGACACTTGCACTATTTAGGAGATTCCAAAGACTTAGAGGTGATCCTTCCTGGGCCTTCTGAATTTAAGGATCAAATTCTTTACATAATGAATACTTACTAAATAGATAGGCAGAAGAACAAGGAAAGCACTGCATGACAGGAGTGTCTAAAAAGAAAGGCAGGAATATATTTCTGGCATGGTCATTGCATAGAAGAAAGACCTCTTTCCTCTAACAGCTGACTGGAATGCAAACCTTGGGTCATAACCTGGGCTCTGGTTGGGCTACACGGAAACTGAATCATCTGCAATTGTTTCTGTGAGAGGTAGGTGTGATTTAAATGCACACATACAGAGTAAATTAAAACAGCAATGATTTCTCTCTCTCCAAATACTGTGGGTTGACTTGGCAGATTCTGGCACCGCGTGGAGTTCACGTGACTCCACTGAGCTGACTGATTGCCAGAAAAGTCTCTTTCAATATCTGCAGCCTGTGTGTTGACTGCAGAGTTTCAGTTCTCACCCCTGCAGCCTCTCTGTGCATGTGATGTCTCAAGGCCTTCTGCGATGGCCTCATTTAGCCAGACAGCCTGAATTCCAGGCAAAAGAGCAAAAGTAGAAAACTGTCGGGTCTCTTAGTGCCCAGAACCAGCACAGTATATACACCCCCACCATCTTCTGCAAGTCAAGTCAGGAGGCCAGCCCAGATCTAAGGGGAGAGTCCACAAATGTCATCACTTTGTGGGAGGAGCACTGTGCTCCAAGTGCGTTCAGGGTAGGCAGGACTCACTGCCACTCTCTTTGGAGACTCTGCTACCTTCCGTCACCTTCCATTTCCTCCTCTGGAAAAGAGGATTTTAATTCAGGTGGGCCTTCTTAGCAAAAGGTTCTGTATCCTCCGATTCAATCAACCACAGATAAAATATTTATAACCATTACATGGTTCCTGACATGCACTAGTGCAGTTAGATAGATCTATGGTGATTGAGTCTGTACTGAACTTGTACAGAGCTCTTTGTCAATATCCTTTAGAAAATAGACTCTAACAAGTATTTTCATCGCATTTACATTGTGTTGGTATTATGAGTGATCTAGAGATGGTTTAAAGTCTACAGGAGGATATAAAATAGCTCTAGGCATATATGACAGTTTTGTATAAGGGACTTCACCATCATGATTTTAGTTTCCAATGTGGTTTTATAACCGATCCCCCTCAGCTCCTCAGACAAATATAGGGACTGATAAATATATGGTATGTGATGTGTGATAGCATGTTACACACATTTTTTAAGGATTAAGTAAAAGATATCTGAACAATGAGTAAAATTAGAGGAGGAGATATAGTGCTTTAAAGCAGGTAGAGGGGATTATTACAATAAAAATATTTCGGAGGCATTTACTATGGGCCAGACATTGTACAAATTGCTTTACAAGTATCCTCTTCTTTAATCAACATGATAACCCCGCAAGATAAACAAGATAAATTTGGTTTTGTAACTTTACAGAAAATTAACTGCAGTTAGTGGCAGAGCTAGAATTTGAATCCAGTTCTGTGTGGTTCCAAAGTTTGAACCACTGTAGCCAGAATTTCTTTTTATCATTTAATACACAATCAACTGGCAAATTTTGAGGTGGAGCCTAGAATCGTTTTTATGTTTTTATTTTTCTTTTTGAACTGAAGATTGAACCTAGGCCTTTCACACTGAGCTACATCTCAGCCTTTTTATTTATTTTGAGACAGGGTCTTATTGAGTCACTAAGTTAGCTTGAATTTGTGACCCTTCTGCCTCAGCTGCCCAGAGTGCTAGGATTATAAACACAGTTCACAATGCCCACCTAGAATTTGCATTTTAATACAGTAGAAGTACTTAACTTCATTGTCCTATAGTGAACTTCCTCAGGTTGCTTAGTATTTCAAAGACACTAAAAAGACAGGCTCCAGGAAATTCAGACTTGCAATAAGCGAAGTTCCTAAATGTGGGAAGATTAAGTGGCTTTAAAAAGAATTACCCTTTCCAGAGGGTGATTATAATGTTTTAGAGCTTATCAAAAGATAGCAGTGAGGTACATGGCAACCCTGCGGTTGTCTCTTCATTACTGCATCAATTCAAAGCAGCTCGCAAAGCAGTCCCTTTCATAATTACATGCATTTTACTTTATATATAGAACAAATGGCTCAAATTATGTAAATACAAAAGCCAAGGCAGATTTTTTTCTTCACCTGGACACAACTGAGTTTCATAAATAACTCCTCTGAGTTATTTTACCTTCTAACATTGTTACTTCATTTATTATGAAAAAAAAAACATATATAGGGGCTGGGGATGTGGCTCGGTAGTAGATCGCTTGCCTAGGATGCACAAAACGCTAGGTTCGATCCCCAGCATCACAAAATAAAACAAAACTGCCCCTTCCCAATTGCTATGAGGAAATGTGACAAGTCAAACGCTTTGTAAGATGCTGGCTGTACTTGATAATATAATGTTTGTAGTATTGTATTATTCTGCAACTGCACTTGGCCTTCTCCCAATCTGTCTAAACCACAACAGGTTTAGCAAAGAATCATGTTTCCCCCAAACCACCAAGACCTAGCTGGAAAACAATGAGCCTTGAAAACCAGAGATTAAAAATACCAACTCCGATCAGCCTATTCTCGCAGTTACCTGCCTTCATACAGTAGTTACTGAGCAAGAGAATAGTGGCAGCAGGTAAGACTAGGGTAAGATGCCTGGGGCTGGCATTTCTGATCTCTGGTTTTCAAGGTTCTTTTGCATCTAGTTCTTATTTTCGGGGAAATGAATAAGGGAGTTGAGCTCTGAACTTTCAAGCACCTTCTACTCCAGGAGCATCTGCCCTCATCCAGCATGGCGGTATCGGCTACAGTCTATTCTCATCCTAGGCTATCCACCAGCCGCCCTTCCGGAACTGTTTACTGAGTTGACTCAGCTTTTCGACGCCCTGAGATGACGCAAACGCCTACGACCGCTTGGAACTCGGTCGGCCCCGCTTTGCGCATGCGCAACGAGGCAGCGGGTGGGCGGAGCCGGTCAGGATGAGTGGCGGAAGGACAGAGACCCCTGTGGGCTGTGAGGCTGCCCCGGGCGGCAGCGGCGGCAAGAAAAGGGACTCACTGGGGACTGCGAGCTCAGCGCACCTCATTATCAAGGGTACGGAATACGGGGCTGTTGTCCTTGGTGGACCCCACCGCATCCCCGCTTCTCAGATGGTGCCCTCTGACCCGGGCCGACCCCCGCTTCTGGCCGGCGCGCGCCTTAGGCGGCGCAGTACGGCGCCGCGGGTGGTTCCGCCCACCTCCCGCGCCCGACGCTGCCAGTTGCAGTAGTTTCTTTGGCGTCCCCTGCAGCGACCCTTCGCCGTGGGGCTTGCTTCCTGGCCTGTCAGCAAGTCCAGGACATCCAAAAAGGCCCTGGCTACTTTGGGCAGCCCCGCGACAAGCGGCTGGTGCAGGGGACGCCAATCTCGGCCTGGGAAAGTTTGCAATCCCTCCTTCCCCACCCCCGCGCGCTGCCCCTTAGTACTCAGCGACTTCGAGTCGTAAACCTTCCTCCTTCGACCCTGTATGCTCCTGGGTTGCGCCGGGAAGGAGTCAGTGACATAACGCCTGTGAAAGCGTCCTGAAATACGTAAAGCGCCGTAGAAATGCACAGACAGCCGTCTGTCCTGTCTGTCCTGTCTGCTTTGAGCGAGGAAGAAGGTTGCATGATGCGAAGATTCTCAAGGCCCTGCTCCCGATTTGATTCCCAAAGCCCACAACACCCTGCTTCCTGCGGCAAGGTCTTTGCCAGTCAGATTTTGCAGTTTTTCACTGCCAACCTCCTTTAACCCAGTTTTAATCCCACCATCTTCAGATACGATTTTAGAGCCCTCCAGAACTAATCAGGGAGGTAGACGTTGGTTGCCTGTTTCAACCTTATCTCTCAAATTGGTAGGCAGCTTCAGCACAGGCTGTGTGTGTTGAGACGTTGTATTTCAAGTTGTCTCAAGTCCTAATTAGGATTGGGGGACTGTCACATGAGTATTAGGGCTAAATTAGAATTACTTATGCAGGCTTAGTGAAGTCTTACGTTAAATTGTTTTGCAATTATGATCAAACAACAAAATTTATAATCGTAGCTATTTTGAAGTATGCGATTCAGTGGCTTTAGGTCCATTTACATTGTGCTGTCCTTACCTGTGTCCATGCACAGGAAGCTTTTCATTTTGCAAAACTGAAACTTGGAATCTATTAAAGAATAACATCCCATTTCCTGATGCCCCCCTCTGCCAATCCTGGGCATCCACTGTTGTGTTTCTGTCTGTAAATTTACCTCCTGTGAATGGAATCCTGGTCTCTGATTTGTGACTTATATTTTTAACATAATCTTAGCGTGCATTCGTGAGGTAGCACATCAGAAAATACATTGTTTTTAAGACTGGATATAGTAGTCCATTGTGTATAGCACACCTCTCCAGTTCATCTATTTATGGTCGCTCCTATCTTTCAGCCGAGTATGAATAGTACCGCTGTGGACATGAATGTAGGAATACTTTTTGAGGCCCTGCTTTCAATACTTTGGAATGTACATAAACGCAAAAGCAGAATTGTTAGAACATATGATAATTCTCTTTTTAATTTTTAGAGGAATTGTCATACTGGCTATACCATTTTACATTCCCAGGGCTGGGGATTTAGCTCAGCGGCATAAGCGCCTGCCTTGCAAGCAGGCAGTTGTGAGTTCGATCCCCGGTACCAATAAAAAGGAAAAAAACAAAGACAAAAAGAAAAAAAAAAACCATTTTACATTCCCACCAGCAATCTAGGGTTTCCAGTTTTTCCATGTCCTCTCCTACATTTATTATTTTCTCTCTGGTGGTAACCATCCTGCTGAGTGAGGTGGCATCTCATTATGGTTTTAATTTGCATTTCCCTTATGTTAATGACATTACTCAGCTTTTTATGTACTTCCTGACCATTTATGTCTCTTTAGAGAAATATGTGTTTAATTCCTGCGTTCTTTTTTTTTTTTTAAATTGGTATTTCTGTTGTCATTGTTGAGTTGTATATCTTTCTGTATTCTGGGTCTTAACCCCCTTTGAAAAGTAGCTTGCAGCTCTCTTGTTCCATGGGTCACTTTTATCCTGTTGATGTGTCCTTTGATGCACAAAGGTTTTAATTTTGAGATAGTACTTTTTTAAAAAGTATAATCCAGTGCTATATTTTATATTTCACATTTCTTTAGACCATAGCTCTTAGGTAGTCTCATCACAGTTCCCCCATGGTGAATGTGAAGTGGTGATGTATTAACTAGTTTAATGGTGGTAATCATTTCAAAATGTATTTGTATCAAATCATCTTTTAACCTTAAATGTATCAATTTTCATTTGTCAGTTACCTTATACACAAGTATAGCTTATACCCAAGTATCCCTGGCAGAGGAGGGGACAGCTGCAAAAATAAAAAATGGAAAGACAAAGACAAGAGATAGAGCAAGAGAACAGGAAAGAGGGATCCAGGGAAGTTTTTTCATGTTCGTTTGAAAACAAGTTGTAATCAGAACTAAGTCTCAAACATCATTGGTCTTTGTTTTTGTTTGTTTGTTTGTTTGTGATAGTACTAGAGATGGACCCCAGGGCCTCACATGTGCTAATCAGGCACTGTACCACTGAGCTGTAGGCCAGTACACATGAAAATACAGTTTCAGCACTTATGCCCTGGGTCTTTGAAAGTGTCTGCCACTTGGTTGGGTTTCAGAAAAGAGGGCTGGAAAATGGAAGGCTTCTTGGAGGAAGCACCATGTCCTTTTGATCGTAAAACATGCTATGTTACCAGTTGAGAAGAGATGGCAAGCATTGAACTTAACTGTCCAGCCCAGGCTGGCTGTGAACTTCTGTCCTCCCAGCTCAGCCTCTCCAGTCCTGGGTAAAGGTGGGCACCACCACACACAGCTCTCCTGCGGTTATCTTTTCCTATTGTCCTTGTGCCATTCCCAAGAAGTGTCATTTTGTGTATCTTTAAAGTTTATGTAAATAGCTTTAATACTTTTGAAACTTGCTTTTTTAAAATTCAGTGTTAAATTTATGAGTTGTATCCATGTTGACAAGTGTAACTCTGATGTGTTTTGTTTGTTTTATTTTTAAGGTACTAGAAATTGAGTCTAGGGTCTTCACATTGAGCTACAACCCCAGTCCTTTTTATTTTTTATTTTGAGACAGGGTCTTGCTAAGTTGTCAGTTTGACGAGGCTAGTCTCTAACTTGCAATCTTCCTGCCTCAGTCTCCCATGATGTGTTAATTTTTATTTGCTGGTTTATAGTACCCCACTGTATGAATATGTTTAGGGATTTTTCTGTTTTTCTTTTGATATTGAATCTGTGTTTAGTAAATATTTACAAATGCCTTATTTTTTTGTGCAAAGTTTTTACTGGGTTATATATATAGGCATGAAAATGTTGGATATACACTGGTATATCTTAACTTTTATTAGCTATCACCCTCAAAAGTGGTGTCAATTTGTATATATACTAGTTTCCTAATCCATGGTCTAAACTGAATTTTAATCTATCTTTATTCATGAAGAGGAAGAAGAAGCTACACAAGCTAGAGATTATGCCAGCTAACATGGATTAATTCTGAATTCATTTTATATTTGTAGATCTTGGAGAGATTCAGTCAAGGCTTTTGGATCACCGACCAGTTATTCAAGGTGAAACTCGGTACTTTGTAAAAGAATTTGAAGTGAGTACCTAAAACTTAAAAATTACTGCCTTAATTGTTAATGTGTAATATTCAGAAAAGAAATTCCCTACTTCTAAAATCAAAGTTTCACATCATGCATTTATAAAATATATAAAATAAAAATTATGAAAAGATAAAAAAACTTATTTTTAATAGGATGAGTATGAGACCAGAGAGCAACAGACACAAGTTCACATTCTGGTGCCTCCTCTAGAGTGATGAATGCGTGTTGATCATAATTTTTAATCTATGAAATGAAGTATAGTGAAAGAACTTTAGGGATCAGTGGATCCAAGATCCAGTGGGTTATTTCCAGACTGATCCGGCCCACGGATCAATCCATGGGGTGTACCTGGAAGGGGGACGGGGATTAAATAAAAACATGGGGGAGACAGAGAGAGAGACTGAGGCAAGTCGAGATCAAGCCCTGTTTATTCCGGAAGTGATCACATCTTTTATAGGCCAAGGGCAGGTTGGGACAGGAAGAGGCTACGAGGATGAATACAACAGGGTCATTGTTAGGTCCGGATATGTGACGTAAGCAGGAGAGGATTATGGTTAATGTAGGCAGACGCATTGTACCCATAGAGGAGAGAGAGAGAGGCAGGGAGGCAGCAATGGGGCTGTCACGCGGCTCCCTACACCAGACCCATTTGCTGCGTGCGTTTCTCTTTTGAGGAATCAGCACTCACCAAGCATTCAGGTTGAAACTTGAGGATTCGCTCCAGTTTCAGCCCCTTTGCAGGTCTAAGTGCCTAAGGCTCCTGAATGTTACCTCACATAGGAATTTTACTCGGACTGGTGTGCCTCGGATGAGTCAGATCCAGTTTCTCCTTGATGCTTGTCATCAAGTATTGTTTCATTTCTAAGATCCTTGCCAGTTACGGGACAGTTATCCTGAGAGCTGTCCCTTCCTGGCTAGCTCTGCCACCTGCCACTCTTTACCTTGCCTGCTGTTCTAGCAGTGTGATATCCTGTTTCATGTGCACTGGATTCGTTGTGCATTAAATCACAACTTCTCAAGCTACCACTGGGTAGATGGTAAATGGTTTTGCACAATTTATGATTCCATATAAGTGTGGGCTCCATTTTCAAACAAGATTTTGACCAAGCAGGATGTCTAAACATGCCAAAAGCAGAGAACCTGTTACTAAAACCTGAAAACTACAGAACTCTCATCCTGTAGAGAAAAAAAGATTGATATAGCATTAGACCAGTGTCTGGGTTCAGCAGACTGGATAATTGAAAAACTGCCTAATACTTCCAAGATTGTGAAGATTAACATTTTTGTTTTGTTTTGTCGTTGGTACCAGAGATTGAACTCACAGCCTCACACTTGCCAGGCAAGCACTTATGCCATTGAGCTAAATTGTCTGCCCAAGATTAATGATGTTGACTGTATGTGTCATGTCAGGGCACGTGTATCTTAGAATATCATGTGGTACCTGTGATATCACGTGGTATCGTGATAAGGATAGTTATCAGGTATTTTTCATCATTAGCATCATTAGTGAGGGATAATATAAGACTTATAGGAAATTATGCAGAGACTATTCTTTACATGCTATAAAAGGATTATTACCAATTCTTTAGTGGGAACAAAATAGGAATTTCTATCTACACTTGTTATGGTCCATTATGCTATGTTTTATAAATATGCCTTTAGCTCCTAGAGGGTTTTGTTTTTTTTTTTTTTTTTTTGTATTTTGTTTGCTATTTTTTCTTTACAAGGCAGTAACTCTAGGGCTGGAGCACGCTAGGCATGTGTTCTCTCTCTGAGCCTCGTCGTTCTTAAATGTGGGAGTTACATGGCTCTGCTTTTCCTTCACACCAGCATCCATAATACCAGCAAGTATAGTCTGTAGCATACTTAATCCCTTTGCTACAACCGCTGCTTTAGTCGCTCATTGTCAGCCTCTGCTGGACCCCCGCAGGCGTCCTGCTTCAGCCTGATCTCTGAAATATTTGCATGTGGTCGCAATGTGGTCTGTTTGTCTGATCACACCACACCGCGGCTTGCCCGCTGCCCCTTCATGGTTTCTCTTCACACATACAGTATGATCCAGCTCCTTAAGTCCAGGAGGATCACTGGCTCCTTATGTCTTTTGTACTTTATTGCACACAGCTCTGGCTGTATTTCCTTTTTATCACATCGTAGTTATTCCTGTGTCAGCCGTTCCATCATTATAATTTCCTTCTCCCCCTTTTTTGGATGGCTCAATCGTGTTTGTTTAGAGGCAGGTTATATACCACCTCTGATCCTTTAGTTCAGAGCAGCCACCGTGGTATTCTATCATGTCACTGTCTCTGATGCTCTGTATAGCACTGTATTTTTTTTTCTAGTACCCTATAACTAATTACCACAAGCTTAGTAGCCCATTTATTAGTTCTGTAGTCAGAAGTCTGGGCACACCATGGGTAGGACCTCAGCTCAGGGCCTCACAAAGCTGAAGTCAGGGTATCGGTCTATTCTCACTGGGACACAGCATCCTCTTCCAAACTCCTGTGACTGTGGCAGGACTCAGTTCCTTTCTGTAAGGGCCACTTTCAGCTTATGGAGGATGTGCACAATGCTTCTGTCTGGCCCTTTCCATCTGCAAAGCCAGTGGCATAAGTAGCATAAGTGCTTGCCTGGCAAGTGTGAGGTTGTGAGTTCAATCTCTGAAACAGAGATTGAGGCTCTCTGAAACAGAAACAGAGAGAGCTTCCGTTGCTTGCAATTTCTCTCATGGTTCAGATCTCTGATCCAGAAGAGCCCAGTGTCTGTTAAAGACTCACCTGCAAGTCAGGCCCACAAAGATAATTTCCCTTACTTAAAGTCACTTCATTTGTGATCTTAATTGTATCTACAGAATTCCTTCACGGGGACACCTAGGTTAGGGTTGATTGAGTTAACTGGACAGGGACCGTGTGCACTAGTGGTGGGGATCTTAGAGGACATTCAGAATTCCACCTGCCACAAGTCCTCAGAACTGCCTGATGATGTTTGTATCCTTTACTTGTGTGTGGCCTGTCTTCCACTGCTAGAATAAAGGGAAGCCAGAGCAAGGGCTTGTCTTGAACAGTCTCGGTTATATTCAAAATGCCTGAAACAGAGTTACTGGCACCTTGCAGGTATTTATATGATTCAGAACAGATTTTGGATCAAAACTTGGATTTTCTGACATCCAGTGCCATTCTTCATAAGCCAACTTTTTCATTAGCCTGGTCAACTTGAGATACCAAATAATTTTTATTAAAGCAACATTTATAAATATACCTCTAATGATTGAATTTATATTAAAAGAAGCATAGAATTTTGGAATTCAGATGGGTTCTTTAATCAAGTTCCCCCACTTCAGAGAGAGCTCAGAGATGGGAAAAGTAAAATAGCTAATTAGTGGTATTCTTTAAATAATGTAGATGGAACTGCAGATACATCTTTTTTTTACCAGTACCAGGGATCGAACTCACGACCACACACTTGCGAGGGAGGTGCTTATGCCGCTGAGCTAAATCTTCAGCCCCTGCAGATACATCTTTTTTTTTTTTTTTTCAGATACATCTTTAAAAGGGTTATACATATAAAACTGAATTGTGAGTGGAAATGAAAAAATGCTGCTTTTATGCTTTTGATGATGGCTTCCTATTGAAGCCAACACTTCTTTTAACTGGGTAGAAGATACCAAGAGAAAATAGGCATGTATCTGAGGGTTTGAGAGAAGAATTCCTTGCATCTGTGCTCCTTAGCCCTCTAAGATCTTTTTGAAGAGGAGGTAGTATGGAAGGTTAGGAATCTGTACCCTGGGCCGGAGATTTAGCTCAGTGGCCTAAGTGCTTACCTAATAAATGCGAGGTTATGGGTTTGATCCTCAGCACCAAAAAAAAAAAAAAAAAAAAAAAAACCTCTTAAGGAAATTACTCAAATCTCAACACTAGCTAGTCAGGATTACTTGCTTTTCAAAGCTGTCCTCATTAAAATGAGAATAATAATATATAATGTACAGTTCTTGAGTTTATATGAGGATTAAATGATATTTGTAAAACTCTGTTATGTAGTGTTCAGTGTTTCTATTAAGGGAAAAATGGCAACAAATAAAAATGTGTTAATTCAGAATTCCAAAAATTTAAATGAATTGGGGTTTAATGTTTAATATCTAGAAAAAATAGGGGTGAGTGACATAAGCATTATCTTAGAGAATTATTTACTAAATAATACAATTTTTACATTGGTTTGGTATGATAGTTACAAGTTCATTATATAGAGTCAAACAAAATATGTTGAGCTTATGAGACATAAATGTTTGTGTAAGGCAGTGTCGGAACTGAAGCTGGATCAGGAACTAAGACAGACACATCCTTCGTGAAGCACAGCCTTCTCCTGCTGCTTTCAGAAGGGTCCCTGTCCTTGAAGGGTGGTCTCTGAATGGCTCAGGCTGAATACCTTGTCAGTTACATGTGAGATGCGTTTCCTGAAAAGCACTTGATCCTTTCCCAGGCTGACCTCCTGGATTGGTCTTTCTGAAGATTTAGAGCAGCACAGAAAGTTCCCTACACCTCGGGCTCAGCTCCCTTGTCTAAGAGGACTTTCAGAACTGCTTCAGAAAGAGACGAGAAAGATGAAATAGGCAAGAGGACTATTTTGAGGGGACATGAAGGGCAGTGTGTCTTTTAAAATGTTTATTTCACTGTTCATGGTAGTTGTTGATCATACTATATATATCTGCATTGTTTACACTTCTTACCTGAGGTGGCCCAAATAGTACCTGTTTTAAACACAGGTGAGCTTTGCACACAGTGGCCTGGCTGGACAGGGCTCAGCGACAGAGCAGAGCCACCAGCACCTTCTAGGAGCCTCAGCTCTAGCCGTGTAAATGTAGTTCACGTTAAGAGAAACTGGCTACATTTAACACTGCAGTGGTTCAGACATTCAAAATTCTAACGTATATAGCAACAATTATCTTCTTTATAAAATTTTACTTGTCGAAGAAGGCCTAAGTGCCACATGGTGGCAGCATTTC